CTTTGTCTTATGTCATAATCTTTATTTCTAGATGACAGTTATGAGTAAGTATTGGAATGCTGAAGTAATAAAAATCAAAAGAATAAACAAGAATACATGTAAACTTATATTGGGGTCGGCATTGGAATTAAAGCGCCGAAAAGTACGAATGGAAGAGTATTTAATGACCTATGTGAACTTGGTACCCGACTTTTAATAAAGTTGTCAATATATAAAATGATAATACTTTGTTTGTAATTGTTTGTAGTAAAAATATTTTTGTTTGTAGTTCAACCCATTAGCAAAAAAAAATGTTTATTGACAGTCACCCGACTTTAAGATAAAAAAAATCGTTAATATATCTTGATTCAGAATTGTTTGTAGTTGTTTATAGTGATTTTGCTTTCGTTTGTAGTTGCATCGGGTGTTTACGATAATTCAAGTTCGAGTTAGTTTCACTAGAACCGAAAAATGAGATATACATAACCATCTAGAACCTTTATGATTCATGACAACTCGACGCTGTCTTGTATTGCTTGAGTTAAATTCATTAAATTTGTTGAGTTTAATAAATATAATTATATACATATATATATAATTATATCTATTAAAGAGGTATACCAACATACAAACCAACATTATTTGTTTCTTTCATAGACTGATTTGCAGTTGACATTTTTTTATTACAATAAAATTTGCTCTATAAACTCAACAAATTCAATTAATTTAACTCAAGCAATACAAGACAGCGTCGAGTTGTCATAAATCATAAAGATTCTAGATGGTTATGTCTATTTCATTTTTCGGTCCTAGTGAAACTAACTCGAACTTGAATTATCGTAAACACCCTCAAGCAATACAAGACAGCGTCGAGTTGTCATAAATCATAAAGGTTCTAGATGGTTATGTCTATCTCATTTTTCGGTCCTAGTGAAACTAACTCGAACTTGAATTATCGTAAACACCCATCGTTACTTAAAATCATTTCAGCTATTTTACTGGCTTTACTGCTGGGAGAAACGAAACGCAGCACCAGTAAATTTTACTGCTGCCAACTGACCTATTTTCACTGGTCGTAACCAAACCTATTTTCAAACACAATGTAGATATGTAGTCTATAAAAACTGTAAAATTATTTGCGTAGTTATATACTAATTATATAACAATAATATTAGTAGTTTTATACTAATTATCATAAAATTTATTAAATTGTAAAGTTATAAATAGTAATATGTTTTATTTGAAAGACTGGAAAGTCATTAAACGATCGAAGCATTGCACAAGAACATGAATATTGTGGGTTGTGACGATTGTGACCAAGAAGTCATATCACCAGGGGGTTGCTTTTGTATCATGCAATGTAGTGAAAATTACAAAAGTGAGCAAATGTGTGGATCAGTAAGATCATAGATACTTTAATAAATTTTTAGAATAAGAAAAAAATAAAGAGTAAGTTGAACCGAAATTAAAGTTAATCTACATTGGAGGAAATGAGCATTATCAATAGGTCTGTTCTTTATAGCTGAACTAGCTGCACTAGTTCAGAGTTTATCTTTTTCCCTCCATATTGGAAGAAAAAAGATAAACTCTGAACTAGTGCAGCCAGTTCAGCTATATAGAACAGACCTAATGCAAGCGTCACTTTCGCGCGCAGCGACTACTTGGGGTGAGTTCCACTTGGCGATCGCAATGCTCCTAGAATCATTTTATCCTCGTTTAACTTTCGATGAAAAACAGGATAAAATGATTCTAGGAGCGTTGTGATCGCC